ACTTCATGGAACTTCATACATGAAGTCTCTGTTGTATACCCCTTGGTGGAAATACGACGTTTTCTCTGATCTCCTCGTGAAATACATGCATTCATAGAAATTCTAAAAGACTTCATGAGACTTCATAAGACTTCGCAGGACTTCATAAGACTTCTAGAGACTTCTAAAGACTTTAAAGATTTCATGCATGAAGTCTCTGTTGTATACCCCTTGAGTAAAACTAACAAGAATTTAATGAAAATATTTAAAATAATAACGAATGAATCAGGAGGATCTCAATAGGAAGTAGAGACTTGTTCTCGAGGTTAAATGTGAATGAGGGTAACTCAGTGTGAGTGTATTGTTTCTCTCCATTCACGTGTACACTCACATTAACATCAAAATTTGCAAAAAAATGTTTCTGCGAGCAACTGTCCTAATTCCATAGTACCTCAGTTTTAGTCTTATAAGAAGTTTTTAGAGAATCTATTTATGATGAGATATTTTGATGATTTTAAATATTATTAAATAATTTGTTTATTTAGAAAAGTGTTGATTCCAAATCAAAAAATGTCGAATCAGATAAAAGTAAAGATTTATCTTCAATAAATAATGATATATCCGGTAAAAATGCGAATAAATTTTTAGAAGTCAATCATGTATCATCTCCACCTGAATCTGTATTTATTCATTTAAGTCCAAGTCGATCACGTTATTCGTTTCGTGATGAATTATAAAATAAACATTTTATATTAAAAAGGAAAAAACCTACAATCACATTATTTTTTTTGTTGCTATTTTTTTTTGTTATTGAAAGAGGAAAAAAAAGGAAGAAAAAAAAAACGATTTTTGCTTTTTCAATAAAAATATTTATTTTAGATAAAAAAAATCAATTTGAATGCGTCGACATCGACAAATAGCATTATTAGGATTTCCGGGTGTTGGAAAATCTTCTCTCGCTCATCATTTTGTTTATAAACAATTCTGTACTGAATATGATCCAAATATTAAAACAAGTTCGATTTAAAATATTATTTTATTATTATTTCATCATTTAATTTATTTAGATCTTCAATATCAATGTAATATCGGTGGACAAGAATTTGATTTAACGATAGTTGATAATGCTGGATCAGATCAATATACACTTGATTATATAGATTTTGAAAATAGTGATGCATATATTATTGTTTATTCTATTGATGATTTACAAAGGTTTTTTAATAATTTTATTTCGAATAATAAAATAATTAAGATTTATTTTAGTTTTCAAATGGTTTCAAAAATTCGAGAGAAAATCATATCAACAAGCGCTATTACAAGGTTATTATTATTATTAGAAGAAGAAAGAAAATATTCAAAATTTTTCTTATTTTAGAATTCCAATTGTTTTAGTTGGAAATAAAATTGATCGGACTACTGAACGGTATGTTTTTTACTTTAACTTCCTCTATTTCTAATGAATTTCTTGTTTAGTAAAGTGACAACTGAACAAGGTCGATCATTAGCTAATGCATGGAAAGTTCAATTTGTTGAAACATCTGCAATGGATAAAAAAGTAAAAAATATTTTTCTTTATTTTAACAAATAAGTAAAACGTTGTGTTAGGCTGTTAGAGAAATCTTTGAAAAAAGTATAACTACAATGGATAATATGGATACGAGTGAAAATTCAACAAATTCAAATCCAATTGAAGCCAATTCTTCTCTTCCTTCATCATCAACTTCTTCTTCTATTCCTATAAAACAAATATCATCAGGGAAAATAACAACAAAACAACATTCACAAAATAAAACATGTTCAGTATGCTGAACATTTCTTTTTTTCTTGTTTTTTCTTATTTCATTTTATGTAAATAATTCAGTTTCTTTTTCTCCCCGTCTTTTCTGTACATAATTTTCTACTATTTACACAAGAGAGAAAGAGAAGAGATTAAGATTGGTTTTTTTGTTCGTGTTATGTTGTGAAAAAACGAAAAACAAAGAAGAAGTTGGTGCACAGTGGAACAGTAGATATATCTGTTGATTTAACTCAGGTGTTGTTCATTGTTTCTGTTAATTCAATTGAAGATATTCCATCGATACAACAAAAAACAATATTTTATTTTATGTTTAAAAACATTCTGCTCGTGTTTTTTTGTTTGTTCTTTCTTTCTTATATGTTCGATTATTATTTCAAACAAAATAAAATCGAATAGAAACAAAAAAAAAAAAGAGAAGACTGATGTTTTTAATAAAAAATCCAAAACTAATTTGATTTATTCAATTTAGATAAGAAATGATCTAGAGAAAATGTCTTTTGAAAATTTTCTTAATTGGACTGTATCAATTGATTGTGGATCAAATCTTGGAAATTATCAAGGACAAATTAAATCTGTTGATGGAATTAATCAAACATTAACATTAAAACATGCTTTTCATAATGGAATTTTAATTGATGAAGAATTTATTCTTCTTAAAGCAAAAGATATTATTGATTTAAATCTTTTATCTCAACCTGGTTCATCATTTCAAATTCCTAAAACAATTAATAAAAAATCATCAAATTATGAACAATCACAACAACAATTAAAAGCTGCACCAATTGCTAATAATGGTTAGATTACCTAGAAAAACATTTTAGACTCATTTCTCTATGAGTCTAACAGAGAAAGATTAGGGATGTACCGAGCTCGAATCTCTCGAGACTCGATTAGTGCTCTGGTATCTGGATGGGTGTGAATGAAAAGGATAGTATTCGCACTCACCATACTCTCACTCTCATGTAGGGAACTGCAAAATCACTTTTTGGTCCCGGCCAACTTTTTCAGTTGGTCCCGGTTTTGATAAAAGCTTAAGAATAATTCTGGTGTTGTCTTCATCTATGCAAAAAGAATATGAAATTCACGGAAATTCTCACTTTTTTGATTGTAAATTCAATCTATACGGTTTTTCTTGCACTATAAAATAACACATTTGTCAATTCTTAGTTAAGGAAAAAAAAAGAAATAAGAAAATATCTAGTCTCATACTTGATAAAAACATTGAGGAATTAGCTGACAATTTTAGTCTTGGTCCCGATCCCGCAGGACTGGGATCATTTTTCAGTTCCCTACTCTCATACACACACACCCGAGCCCGAGAGGCTTGATCAGGGCCAGTGTTTTATCCAGCTTTTTTCGTCCGAGAGTTCAAAACTAAATGCCGAGAGGGCAAAAATCTATTTTTCGGGAGGGAAAATGTAGTTTTATACGAAAAAAGCACAATTTTTCTGCATTCCGGGAGGACCAGCGTAGCCTCCGAGGGGGCAAAAAGCCTCTTGCCCTCCCGCTAGATAAAATACTGGTCAGGGCTCAGGCTCTGGATAACCCTAAGAAATATTTTATTATTATTATGGAAGAATACAGTTTTATGCTAAAATTTCTTTAAGATTTCCCATAAAATCAATCTTTGATGTATCACTAAAAAACCTTTATTAGCTATATTTTCAATGCTAAAAATTATATTTTGTTAGGTAGTAAATCAAGTGATATAAATGCTAGTCAATCGAATCGTTCTCGTTCATCGAAATCTTGGTCAGATGAAGCAACAAATGAAAATGAAACAAATGAGGAAGGAAGACTTCGTTATCATATGGATCCACCAAATATCTCATCATTAAAAAATTCTTCAATAATTCAACCATCATCAATGCAAGATAAATATCGTTGTGATCAAATGATACTTGAACATAATAATGGACCTATTGAATATGAACAAATTCAATTACCTGTACCTTCAACTAAAAAATATTTAACAGGTTTTTTTTTTGAAAAAATAATAAAATTTTATTTTATTTTTTTAATAAATTTAGATGAAGGTCTTATTATTCCTGCGATAAATACTGAATTACGTGATAGATTATTTAATTCAGCTGAATATTATGGTTATTCATTAGAACGACGTGTTGAATCAATGGGTCGTTGTACAAGTGATATGTGTTTGCATTTATTAGGTGGTACACAACGATTATTAGTTAAAAATCGTCATCAACATCCAACAATTGTTGTTTTAGCATGTTTAACTGAAATTCAAGGCGCATATGCAATATCAGCTGGAAGAATTTTAGCATCAAAAAATATTCAAATTTATTTATATGTTCCACCAAATTTAACAACAATTAGAAGTAATATTATTGAAAATGAACTCAAATTATTTCGAACAACTCAAGGTATTATAACAAATAATGTATCAGGTAAGATTTATTTTTTAAAGAAAAATAAAATTTATTTATTTTGTTTTCGAATTAAAGATCTTCCTCGATCACCAGTTGATTTAATATTAAATGGTTTAGATGCTGCAAATAATTCCGATTCAGTTTTATTTGCTAAACCATGGTATCGTGATATAGTTCAATATTGTTCACGTCTTCAAGCCTCTGTTATTGGTGTTGATCCTCCATTAGATGGTGGAGCAATTGAATGTAAATATTCATTAGTACCTTTATTACCACTTGTTGCTATGTCATCAAAAAATGTTGGAAGACTTTATTTATGTGATCTTGGATTTGGACAAAAAGTTTTTCAACATCTACAAATACGTTATGCATCACCATTTGGTGCAAAATCATTTGTTGCTTTACATGATAATTAAATTTAACATTTTCATTTCTCTTTTTTTTTAAAAACAACTTTCTTTATGCTATTTTATGTTCTCTTTTCTCTTTTGTTGTTCTTGTTGTTATTGTTATTTTTATTAAAATTCATTTGAGATGATCAACAAAACACTCCTTCTTTTTTTCAAAAACAAAAATCAGGAAAAATATGTTTTTATTACAAAATTCAACAACGATCATAATCAAGTTTTTTTGAATTGCTGTAGAAAGCTCGAAAAATAAAATTTCGAAAAAAAAACCTCGAAAAAATAATCTCAAAGAACAAAATTTCGAAAAGTGAGAATCTCGAAATAAAAATCTCAAAAATAAAAATCTAGAAATTTGAAATGTCGAGAAAGCAAAATCTCGAAATGTAGTACTTTGAAAATCCTTAGGATGTTATTGTGGGTTGAATATAGCACACATATTCACACCCACCCACACCCACACTCACACCCATACCCATACCCACACCTACACCCACACCCACACCCACACCCACACTCATACCCATACCCCGCACCCACACCTACACACACACCCAGCTTTAAACATAAACATATATATTTCTACGTAACTACATCGATATCTTGAATTGCAATTATTCGAGATTTTTTTTTGAAAGTTCGCTAGTTTCAGAATATTTGATTTCGAGATCTGTATTTTTCGATTTACTTTTTTTCGTAATATCAATTTTTCGAAATTTTAATTTTTCGAGCTTTTCTTTTTTCGAAGTTTTTGTTTTCGTGCTTTTTTTTCGACACTTTTTTTTTCGAGCTTTCTACACAATACCGTTTTTTTTTTTTTTATTGAAGTAAAATTAACCGAAGTATTGAGAAATGTAATTCATATGAGAATTCAATTTTCTTATATTTGTTTTCAGTATGTTATTAAAAAGTTTAACTACTGTTCGTATATTTAATTCGGTGAGTTTAATTATCTATTGTAGATTTGTAAATGTTATCTACAAATATATATATTTCATTCATTTTTTTTTCTATTTCATTCTTAACATATTATGTTTACTCTCAGATAATTCTAAAACGTTCAATGAGTTCAATATCTTCATCAGAATATTCTGCATGTATAACAACAGTATCAAATGATGAAACTGCACGAAAATTAGCTCGTTCAATAGTTGAATCTCGTCTTGCTGCATGTGTTAATATAATTCCAGGTGTTCGATCGATCTATGAATGGCAATCAACAATTCATGAAGATAATGAATTAATATTAATGATTAAAACACGACAAGAATTTGTTCCACAATTAATTGAATTTGTTAAAAAGAATCATCCATATGATGTACCAGAATTAATTGAACTACCAATTAATAGTGGAAATCAAGATTATCTTAAATGGATTGATGGAATTGTTAAAAAACAATCATCAACATAGATTTTATATTATTTCTTTTTTTCAAATAAATTTATCTCTACAAGAGAATAAATATGGGTTTTTTTGCAATAATAATTCAAAAAAATTGAAAATTCTTCATCTATAAATCTTTATTCTATTCTACTCTGTATATCCTTTTAAATTCAGTTATGTCTAAGAAGAGACGATCTATTCCAGCTCATGATGTGGGGTGGACTTTAATGATAGATAAAATAAATACCCACACGTATACCCTCAAGATGAAACGCTCACCGTTGCATCCCTAATTATCATACTCTGTGTACACGAGTGTTCCCTTTTTTTGTTATTAATATTATTTTCATCTTCCTCCATATTAGAAGTAAAATTGGCGTTGCCTCACTATTTTAATTTATTCAATAAAATAATGATCTATATATCATTAAGAAATATTTCAAATATTTAACTTTTTGACACAAATAAATTAAATATCATACTATTCAAATAAAACGATGTTAGCAAATAAAAATTATATTATCGAAAATATGCTATAGTTACGTGGTCATTTATACCAAAAAATAAAATCGTCAAGTATGCCATGTTACCGACGAAAATAGTACATGTAAATAGATCAATTCCAGTTTCTAAACCCTATTCTTACAGTATAGAGAATTACATTTTAGAACTTAGTTCCATTAATACTGCAATTTTATTTATTTTTACACTTTATTTAACGAAAATAAACAATACAAAACTGAATATCACAACATATTATTTTCACTACGAACAATACTTATAACAATAATAATCAATAGAGAAATTTTCATACTCATAGATAAACAAGAACAACTTCACTTACATAATCACATAAAAATAATTAAGATTGATTTCACTTTAAAAATTGTAAACTATGTATAGAACTATTGAGGACTAGTAATCATTCTCATTTGTAATGTGCCTCGCACTGCTCGACTGACAGGAGTCACTGTGTTTGTTTTTTGTAAGCTTAGAACAATATTTTTTAGTTATGGAATATAAAAAAGTAATGCTACACTCAATCCCAGTTGAGATACACTAACTGGCAAAAGTGCAATTCGAGCAAGTAATGGATGTTCTTCACCTGTTATTATAAACATAAATATAAAAGTCATTCCAGGTATTCCAAGAATAAGTAATAAACTAACAATTATTAAAATACGTCGCATAATAAGTAAATCACGAGCTTGTCGTTGTTTAATTACTAATGTTTGAATATTTCTTTGTCGATGAATAAATCTTGTTATATGAATATAAATAAATGATATACAACAAAATGGACCTATATAAACAATAACTGCTACCGAAAGAATACTAGGAATATTTGTGAATGTTGGATAACAAAAGTGATCATTTGGTAAATATGTTACACCATTCAAAGGTATAAGAACACATAAAAGAATACATGTTATTATTATTAATTCTATAAATGGTAACATTATACATAATTTTACAGATTGAAACCGTCGATCTTGAGGATAAACAATTCGAATTAGACGATAAAATGCCTAAAATTATTCAAAAAAGAATATAAAAATTCTCCAATTTCTATTGTTTCAAGTTACCTGATTTAGAAAATTCAAGTATAACTTACTAAGCACTACAATAGCAAAATATCCTGAAAAAATACACCATGATGAGTCAAAAGATTGATTATACAAATCACCCAATATTGATCGAATATTCATTGATATTAACATTATTGCATTAATTAAAATTGTTAAATATATATGACCACAAAGAACAATAGTTATTTTGTCTTTACGTTTGACATGATTACAATAAAGATGATATATAATAATAAGAAAAACTATGCATGATATCAAACATGCAAATGTATTAAAGCCAAGAGAGACCGAACTAAGTATGAAACCATTTGTTTTTGTTTGATCACCAATCATAATAGAAGTTTGTATTGAACTAAATTATATATTTGGAATATCTGATAGATATAAATTTTAATTATAAAATGAGTAAATGTTTCTAAAAAACAATTAAAATGCTTGAATAAACAATATAAATATCCCTAAGGAAAATCTTATAAGTAGACATTAATCCCGTTCTATTTAAAACATTATTAAATCGCGATAGATGGATTATCTCTTATTAATAAAATTAGCTTTTTTGTCAACATAGATGAAAAATAAAATAGTGAAATACTTCAAATAAAAACAATTATTTGTTGAAAATTCATTGGTTGAAATGTTTTTTCTTTATTTATACTGTCGAACGAATTTCAATCTAAACTTTATGGATATTTAAATATATTTTATTTTAGTCAGTTGTATACTTGAAGAAAATAGAATACTCTTACCTTTATAATTAATATAAATTGAGATATCTGACATACTTTATGATAAAAGAGTATAAAGAGATTATTTTTCTCTGCAATAAATTACATGTTTATACTCTTTTAGAGTATCATTATGAAAAAAAGCTGTTAGCGCAATTCCTGGCGGGATTAAAATGTGAAACACGATCTGCCTGTTGTTTCTACCTTCAAGAAGATAGTTTAATTGTATCTTTATGAAGCGGATTTTACCTCATTCTGTGGCATAAAGGTATAGAAATATAGGACAGAAATAATTTATATATGATGTACTCGTTTTATTCGCGTTGAACAGCTGTGCGAGTGTGTATATCTTAATCTTTGCTCGTTTATGCCTACACCCACACTCTATATAAAGACCTATGGTACCTTATCGATCAGGGCTGACCAGGTCAAAAGAACACGTGTCGGTCACGTCAGTTGGGGGAGGGGCGGAGGGAGTGGGTGCAAATTTTTATCCCTTAACACTTCAACACGCCTTTTAATTTGTGCTTCACAAAATAGAGTCTATAATAAAGATTAATTAAGGTTCCTATTCTTTATTAGTAACATATTAATTAGTTTCTGTTCTTACAAATTTGTTTAATTATGATTTGAAATGAGTTATCATATATCTAAATGTCTGGGATGAGACTTATGATGGTCTTGATATTTTAACTGAAGAGTTTCTTCATACATTGTCAGTCTATATAACCTTTTGAATCTCATGCAGCAGTTTACTATCGGCTATTACAGTTCTAAGAAAATATTTATATTTTCATGGATAAAATCTAACAATGATCCGTTATATTAATATATACATATTTATAGAGAGAGAGATATTTATTTGACTTTGATGTAATAATATACAAATGTTATATTGAAAAAACATTACTTTTCTATAATAGTTACAGAACAAAAATGATCTTTTTTTGTTTTATTGAAATACTTTTATTTGGAAAACATTCATTTTTGAATTTATTCTTTGAAGAGAATTTTTCTAATAAAATTCATAATAATAAAGATAAGATTATAAATGTCATGTAGAAGATTAATGCCTTATATTAATTAAAAATTATTAAATAAAGAAACAAAGTACTCGTTTGAATACAAGAACTGAATAAAGGTTATAAAAAGATTTGTTGAATATTCTATAATAATATAAATTGCATTTGCACTCTCGTACGCTAATAAGAGAAAGAATTAATGATCTGTTACTTTTAACTTGTCATACAGTAAGGTGCAAAAGTGTTTGCCCTGTACTTTAATGAACTTTCACAAAATAGAATAAGATCTACATATAGCTATGTAAATCATAAAACCAATCGATACTGTCGCTTGTAGAAAAGTAATAATTCTAAAGAATAAAGTGAATGACGAAGCAGTATTTGTGCAGAATGTACCTAAAACGATTGGCTGATTGTCGAATTGTGTCGATGGTAGTCGAGTGAAAAACCTTTAGTCGATTCTCAAACGTTGTGATGGGAAGCGGAAACCACGATATTTCGATGAACTAGAAAATTTCTGTGCGAGGAATATTAAAAAATTGAGTTGTTTGTTCTAAATAATTTGGTGAAGTTTATAAAAGCATGATGTTTAGCTTTGATTGACACGAAGGGAGAGAGGGTCAGCTTTAAGTTGTGACATATTTCTACATTGTGCCGTACCTTATCTGTTTATATATTTGACTTTCCTATTCATCAGTTCTATTCTGGAAAATAAATGAAATTCTGACAACAAAGAATTTTGTATCGTACTGTATATATCGTATCTAACTATTGGATTCTAAATCGATATTAAAATGAAACATTTCTTTCTCTTGAGAATAAGTATGAATCTAGATGACGGCAGGATTAATTCACAACTATACCTCATCACATTCTAATGTGACTTACATCGAGGTTATTCATTTAAGGATTGAAAATCTCAATCATATGCTACGATTAAACAAATTTCCTTTCAGTATAATTACTCTTATTTGCAACAGAAACAGCAATATTATTCTTCTTTTGAACGATAATATCCAACGTAGTTTTATTGAAAGAAGATTTCAACAAGTTGATTCCTACGTTGATGATAATACAATAAGAATTAGAGGGTGTGGGTGTATTCTCTTTTATCACCAACACTCACCCTTCGATATTACTACAAATGTAACATAACCACTGTTACAGTGATATCGCACATATACCGTATTTATTGTATTTAAATATTGATATTTCTTTCGTTTGTTCATCTAACTGCATATGTCTGTGGGTTTTCACTGTTTCAATCAGAAGAACATAAACAAGTGTGAGAAGAACAGCGCACATTCATTCTCATTTCAGTTGAAGCGCTTCTGAAACTAATGTTAACAATCAGCAGCTAAGACTTTTATTCTCTGTTCTATCTGTTTTTATTTCGAAACAGCCATATCTTGTGGGAGAAATATTTGATATTCCTGTTCTTTTTTTCCTTATACGATCACGTAGAGCATGATTCTTTCTCTACTCCATTAGTATTCACAGATAGATAATAATCTATGACAACTGGATTTTTTTCTACTTATAAATAAAATATAAAAGTATCTAAAAAGATTCAGAATAACATTAACTTCTACAAATTTTCAAGTAAGTAATATAAATATTTGAATGATATTTTCCATGAATAGGACTTCCGTTTGTTACTATTCTAAATCATTTTTTGTCGAGTATTTGAATGAGAAGCTTGAACTGTATATGATATTGATTACTTGACATAAATTCTTTTTGTTATCTCATATCGTGTTGCCAAACAGTTGACTGATTTTGTATTGCAAACAATTATTATTATTATTATTATTTAGACAACTGATGGACAACGATATAATTTTTCCTCCCTTATCTGGTGATGAAAGAATTGTGGATGAATACACAGATGCTGAACGTTCTGAAGTGAAGAAAGTAATTGTAATTCTTACTAATTTTCGGCTTCTTATTCATTGGAAAGAAACGATTTGCAGTTGTTTTGCTCGTTCCTCTTATTCTTCAATAAGACTCGATTCAATTGATCGCATCGATGATAAGCGTCCCGATGAAAATGTAGCAATTTTTTTGATACTCATGCCTTTACTTATAGGTATTTCTCCCATCATGAATGGTATTGTTTTAAAACAAATATGGTCTTTATCAATGGGCATAGCACTTATCATCTCTGGTGTAATCATCTTCATTTATTTATTGTACAGTAACAAAAAGAAATATATTACATTAAAAGGTTCTTTTGGTTCGGAAGCGATAATATTTGAAAAGACGATTGCTAGAGAATTCCAAGGACAATGAAGTAAAATGATCTATCAACGATCAATTCAATGTTTTATACCGGAATCATCAACACCAGTCGCACCGAGACACGTTACTGGAACTGCAATGAAGATTGGAAATACATATGGCTATGAATCTTTACAGAATGTTGCATAAAACAATACATCGTAATAAACGTTTACATTTTTTATTCCATTAAATTTTGCTTTTATTAAGTATATGAAATTTGAGTATGATTTATTAGAAATAAAAAGTAAGTATGAATATGGAACTAAAATCGAACCTATTATCTTGTGTAAGTGCCAAAGAATAGAAGAGAAATATTAATGATTTATTCTAAAATTTAAATCCATATCAAAGATATTCGATACTCTATCTATCAATGTCTATTGTATATTTGTGTCATCAACTTAAATAATTAGTTAGGTAAAAGATATAACATTCATTAGTTAAAGAAACATACGGCATGAATCGTTCTTTATGTACATGATTTAGTTTACCTATTTCATATAATTTTACTCATTAATCTTTATACCGAGTGTGTGTATATCGATCATGTCAATGTCTAAATGAAAATTACAAATATTCGAAGTACTGAGTTATCTTACATGAACTATTTCGATCGTAATTGATCTCATTGATTATATTTTGCATTGGTTTCTTTTTAAATCATTATTCAGTCGAAAAAATCCCAAAATTCCAATGAACAATAAGTGATAATGAAGATGAATATTATGCAAATATTATTGGTGCAGGTTTTTCTGGTTTAGGAATGCTTATGAAATTAAAAGAAATGAATATGATTAAATTTTTCATATCAAAACGTCATTCACATGTTGGTGGTACATGATATGCGAATCAATATCCTAGATATGGGTGTGGGTGTCAGTTTTTCTCTCTTTTATTCCATCATCTTACATCCACACCCACGTCCTCAATCAATACTGCAATTTTATTTATTTTTACACATTATTTAACGAAAATAAACAATACAAAACTGAATATCACAACATATTATTTTCACTAAGAACAATACTGACAACAATAAAACTCAATAATAATCTCGTATTCATACATAAATAAGAACAACTTCACTTATATAATCACATAA